CTCTACTCTACTCTACCGGTTGCCATCAATTGCTACCGGTTGCCATCGATTGCGCCATCAATGGCTATCGATTGTATCGATTGTCAAACGTTGTTTTCTGGTCAGCGACAAGTACGAGACTCAGATATGAAGATACTGGTACCGTAGACGTGACGGAGAGGCTCGATGCACAAGACATTGCATTTCAGCATCTGGTGAGCCAGGATGCTTGACAATGCCTGGCACACGATGATGATGAGCACCTGATGCAGGGCTGCGTTCAGTGTCCAGCACCGCGACAACACGGTAACAGCAAGACCAGCACAAAAGCTTCACAGTACAGCCGGCAAAGGAGAGACAAGGTAGAAAATAGGAGCAGCAGTGATGTAAAGCATGCAGCACACATCGGGATCGCGTCACCCCTCTGGCAGCACCAGCGCCACCCCCGCCAACGCCCACGCCTCGGCCACCTCTGGCCCCGCCACCGGCAGCTGCACCTCTGCTATCACCGCGCCGCAGCGCTCGCGGGACAGGTACAAGGGCGCAGCGACATGCTGCGGGTGCGGCAGGGGGGCGCCACGCGGCAGCCAGGTGGCGTAGAGCACTGGCAGCGGTTGGGACAGGGGGTCGTCCTGGGGCAAGCGGCAAGGGCAGTGGCAAGAGTGGTGGGTCAAGTTGCTGCAAGAATGCACGATGGGCGGTGGTACGACTTCATTGAATGAGGCGTGCCGGGTGAACGTCCGCCTGGTGTGCAGAAAGGTGCAGCTGCCAACAAGGCCAGACAGCATTTTGAGCCGCTGTCGTGGCAGAAGCGCAGAATAGCGCCCCACAAGCGCCCCACGCCTGCACGCACCTGCGCGACCGCCGCCATCCGCTCCCCGTCGAGCCGCGCCCCCTGCAGCATCAGCCCGGACAGCGCGGCCGCCGCCGCGCCCGCGGGCAGGCGCCGCGGGTCGAACGCCGTCGCCAGGCGGAGCTCGTCCAGCGCCGTCGCGCCGCCGCCGCCGCCGCCGCCGCCGCCGCCGCTGCCGCTGCGCCCCTGCAGCCGCGCCGCGCGCTGCCGCAGCGCGTCCAGCAGCGCCCCCGGCCGGAACAGCTGCCGCAGCTCCAGCGGCTGCCGCACCAGCTGCTGCCCCATGTCCCGGCCCCGCCCGTCCGCGCCGCCGGCGCTCCCAGGAAGGAACCGGGGCACCCACACAGCCTCGATCGCCGCCGCCCTTGCGACCGCGCCTCTGCAGTAGTCTGCGGGCGCCTCGGGGCCCTCCCACAGGCGGTCCCACGCGTCTGGCACTGCGTCGGACAGGAGGGACGCGGCGCAGGCCTGCCGACAGGCGCAAGTGGGGCGGCGGGGCAGGTCAACGGAGAGGCAGCGGGATGGGGGGATGGGGGGATTCTCCTGCTCTAGCACGTGGATGCACCTGCGGCAGAGCGGCAGGCAGCCGGTTGCTGTACGATGGGTGCAGCTGGCACCGGTGACGGCGCCGTTTCGGCTGGCTTGCTCAGCCCTGGGTGCGCCTGCACGGCCTAACGTGTCACGCCGTCACGCGCCTGTCAGAACAGTGGCTGCGAGTCGCACCTGGACAGCAGGCGTGATCTGGCCGGCGCCGTCCAGCGCCCGCTGCAGCGCCGCCAGCGACGCGCCGATCGCGCCGACCACAGCCGCCGCGTGGGAGCGCTCCAGCGCGACAAACGTCCCCAGGGGCCCGTCCGCGTCCGCCGCAGCCGCCGCGTCCGCGGCTCCCGCCGCCGCGCTAGCGGCCGCCTGCTGCTGGCCGTGGGGCACGGCCGCGGGCGCCGCCGCCGGCGCGGCGGCCGTGCGCACCGCGGGCGGCGCGGCGCTGATCAGCTGCTCCCAAAGCCGCAGCAGCGGCGCAAGCCGCCCTGCCCACAGCACTCGGTCCACTGTGCTCCGGCCGCTTCCACTGCCGCCCCCTCCGCCGCCGAACCCGAGGCGCCGCAGCGCCGCGAGCGCCGCCGCGCCCTGCGCCGCCGCCGCCGCGCGGCCGATGTTCGCGGGCAGGCCGAACAGCGCGGGGTCGTCCCTCTCTGGCAGCGACGCCACCACAGACAGCCACTCCTGCCGCCGCAGCGCGGCTGCGCCCGACGGCAGCTGCGCGGGCAGGCCCGGCAGGCGGCGGCGGGCGCGGCCGGAGGCGTCTGGCAGGACGTCCGGACTGAAGATCGCCGCCAGGTGCGCCCGCAAGACCTGGCCGGGCGCGTCCAAGGTTAGCAGGCGGGCGGTGAACATCAAACAGAAGCCCGTCAGTTCGAGGGCCGCAATGCTTGCCCTGACCATATACTGACAAGGCAGCTGCGTGGCAGGGGCTGTTGCGGTGTGAGCGGCTCGAGCGTGGAGATGCAGCTGTGCGGAGGTACAAGCGTGCACCATGAGGATTGAGTATGACCTCCCCCCTCACCTTGCCGTCGTATGCGCAGTCTACGCGTCCGCCGTACACCGCATCAAGCAGCAGGCCCGTCAAGTGCCGCCACGGCACGCCCCGCGCGCCGCCGTCCGCGCCGCCGCCGCCGCGCGCGCGGGCGGCGTCGGCGGCCCGGGTGACGAAGTCGAGGGCGGTCCTCAGGTCTGCGGCCGAGAACTCGTAGTGCTTGGACCAAGCCTGCAATCATCGAATTTGTAGGGCAAATGCATGCTGCTTGCGCGGGGATGACGCTGCGCACAATGTGCATTGGGGCCACCACCCAGGCCCCAGGGTTGATTGGGCACGGCAAGAAGAGCAGGGTGGGGGCCGCAAGCCTGGCTTGATGCGTCTCCTCCGATATTGAGAAGTGCAGACATCGAAATGTGTCGTGCAGATAGCACCCACCTGCGGCACGTAGCTGCGGCGCTCCTGCACCACCGCATGGAACCAGGCCAGCAGGAACGCCAGCTGCGCCCTCAGGGGCCCCCCCTCTGCCAGCCACTCGGGCCCCCAGGACACGTAGGTGCGGGCCAGGTTCTGCTTGACGCCCGGGGGAGCCTCAAACGTGACCTGCGCGGCGAGGCGGCAGTTGAATCCCCAGGGGGTCTGCAGCTTCGGGCTGTTCGTGGTCCGCCGGCAACACAGAGTCCACCGCTTCGTTGCTCGGCCACCTCTTGATTTCAATTTATACTAGCAGATGATGACGACACGTGTGGCCGTGCAGATAGAGGATGCCAAAAAGCTGGCGCTGGTGAAGACTGAAAAAGCTGGTAAGGGGGCGCTTTTACCTTTGCACACGCCTCCAGCAGCGTGGGCGGGAACCTGGGGTGCGCCTCCGCGGTCAAAAACAGCCTGAAGCCCCTGGCGGCCCGGCCGGCCAGCGCGTGGATCGCCTTCTCCAGCGTTGGCAGCCAGGGGGTCACCAGGTGACAGTTCTTCAGGACCAGCCAGCCGCCTGGGGTTGCACGCAGTTACGGGCGGTTTGGGGCGGTGCCATGTCGGTAACGTTGAGGGCATTCCAGTTTAGCCGAGCTGGTGCAACCAGGCGCCTAGAACGTCACGCATTTTGAAATAAATTCAACAAAGACAGCTTGAGGATAAGAAGGTTTGACGATCCAAGGTATAGCTGTAAGATCCTGCCCATCCGCCACCCACCTGACTTGGCACACTCCTGCAGCAGCTGCAGCGCGCCCTCCGCCTGCCCCTGCCCCATCGCCACCTCCCGCAGCGCCCCGCGCCCGACCGTTGCCGCCGCAACCTCGGACAGCTCTATGCTGGGGTCCGCCCCCGGCGTCGTAATCAGCAGCATAGGCTCCACGGCCAATTGTGACAGGTTCGTGTCTGGATTGCCACCGGACGAGCTCAAAGGTGCGTCCAAGGTTACGGGGTTTGATGACGTTGACGAGGCGCTGATGAGCTGCGCCAAGCTGAGGGCTGGCGGGGAGATGCTGGGCAGGCGCAGCTGGTCGCAAACAAACCTGTGTTTGTGGGCGGCAGAAAACAAACAGGCAGGGCACAGGCAGACAGTCTCAGTCTCACAGCTTTGACCAGCTGTGAGCGAGGGAAGAAGAAGCTTGATGCTGTGTGCATGAAGGGCCCCTTTTCGTGCGTGTGTTGGAAAGAGGGGTCGGAGGCGTTGGGTGCCGAACGCAGCTTTCGCCGGCCCACCTGCTGAGAGCAGCCGGCAGGGCCTCCGGCTTGAGCGCCTTGATGATCAAGAGCCCCTGGGAGCCGGTCAGCCGCGAGGCTGCTCGCGCCGGCACCTCGTCCCCGCCGCCGCCCCCCGCCCACGCCGCCCAGGCCGACGCGTTCTGCAGGTCCGCGTCCCTCTCCAGCCCGGGCAGTGCGGCTA